TTTTTTTTTTCCTGGTACCGGGGACTGAACTCGAGTCCTTGTGCTTTGTGAGGCAGGCAGCGGAACCACTAAGCTAAATCCCCAGCAAAAAATCTCTTTTTCAGTAGCGTTTGTGGGGAAATGTCTACCCTACTTTGTTTCTCTGTTCCTGTTTACCTTTGAACGTTTGTTTTCCCCATCATTAAATATGTACTACTAAAGATGACAAGAGTAGACAGAAAATGCAAAAGATTATAGCCTTGTTCGTTGTGAACTCTAGCATTAAAAATAATCAGTTACTGAGGGCCAGGGTACTGAACCTGCCTTGAAAGCACAAGGTCTTGAATTCAATTCCCGGTACAAAAAAAAAAAAAAAATCAGTCACTGTAATGTAGATGAGAGATTAAAAATCAGTAAAATGAGATGATGGAATTAATAAGGGTCATTATTTCATCTATCCATGAAAAGCCACGACAGTTTAGACAAGATAAAAACACTGCTACTGGACAACAGACATCTTTCTCAGAATTCCTGGGTCAATTTGAAGAAATCTTATGTGCTTAGTACTCAGAATTCACTGAATACTTACTCATGTTTATTAGTTTCCTAGGTAGGACTACTGTAATAAAGTACCACATAATTGGAGGCTTAAAACATTTTTTTATTTCTCTCAGTTCTGGAGGTTAGAAGTCTGAAACTGAGGGCTGAGCAGGGCTGTATCCCTTGGAAGGCTCTAGGGAAGAATCCTTTTCCTCTTCCAGCTTCTGATGGTCCCAGGGAGCCTTGTGACAGCACAACTCCAAGTTTAGCCTCCACCATCACGTGGCCTCATTGTGTCAGTGTTTTCTCTTCCTACAAGGGCTCCAAGTCTTGGAGGCCACCCCTAAACTCATCATGACTTCCACTCAAGATTTTTAATTACATGTGCAGACTCCACTTGCAAAAAAAGTAACACTGGCATTCTAGGTGACAAGGATGGGAGGGCATTATTTATCTCACTATGCCATGCAAGCAACATAATTTCTCTTTTTAGAATCAGTAAGGTTGGAAAAAACCTCTCAAATTCAAACTTAATTTGATAAAATTAGAATTATTTCTCTGCAAGGGAAATTTTAAAAAATCTTTAATCTTCAAAAGAAAACTAAATCAAACAATAAAAATATCAAATTGAGTTCTCTTATTGATTAAAGCTGACATAAGTAATGAAAACTTCCTTTTGACAGAAACAAATCATAAGTCAGTGCTATATTATTTATAATTACTTCAAAAATAAGTTCAGCATTCTCATCATAATGACAATTCAATAAATCCTTGCCTAGCACTCAGGAGTGTTAATATCATAGTTTTTACTAAGAAAATTCTTTGTAAAAATTCTTAAGCCATTAAATTTTTTTGCAGTTCTGGGGATCAAATCTACAGCCTTAAGCATGCTAAGAACACATGCTCTACCACTACCACTACCACTGAGCTACATCCCCAGCTCAACTATATACATATATATTTTTGGGGGGGTACTGGGGACTGAACTCAGGACTTGCACTTGCAAGGCAGGTGGTGGCACCACTGAACTAAATCCCTAGCCCTCAACCACATATTTTTAAACATTTACAATTTTTTAAATTCAGAAGGTACAATTTTATAACTACCTTCACCATACAGTAAAATGTTACACAGTTTAATACCAGCTACTTGAAGCAGAATAAGATAACAATGTATCTGCAAATAAATTCAAATACTAAATGACAAATATTACAATTAATAATCGGTTAATGTGTAAATAAATTACCAAAATAAGAGACAATCTTGGCTGGCTGTACATTTTTCAAACAATACAAACATATTTCAGTTTATACATTTTAACACCCAGGTGAATTTGCCATATTATAAAATTATTTCTATTATAAATTTTCAGGAATTCTTTCTAATGTACTGAGGAAAAGCAGAAGTTTTTTTTTTTTTAAATTTTTGATACAGAACAGGATGAACCCAACTTAGGGATCTTAAACTAGACACTGCCTTTGGCAGAAAACATGTAAATATAAAAAATCTTAAAATAAATACAATCCATAAGATTATGGGAAAAAAAGAACAACCTTGTATTTCTTAACATTTTAAAAAAAGATCAACAGAAACAGTATCATTTTTATACTAACAATAATTGCTAAGACAAATTCCTTATAAATGGCAAAAATAAAAATTTTTTAAGAGGAAACTTCTGCATGATTAAATTTCACAGATAAATGCCAATATACCATATTTAAATATGTTATGTTTTATGATTAATGATGTTACTTGAACTTAATTGGCTGATCCCAATTTAGTAGATATTTATGCTGAACTACAATTCAGATGACAATTGAACAAAACTTATTTATACAAACATTAAAATAAATTTACTAAGTACAGTTTAGAAGAAAATGTAAGATTCTGCATATGAATGCAAATATTATTATCAAGAGCAGCTTTGAATTTTGTTTTTTGTTTTCTTTTTCTTTTTTTTTAAGAACAGATTTGTTTCCAATAAAGTAAGGTGCCATTTAAAAAAGTTTTTAAAGTATATAATAACTGAATTTACCTGAAAGGAAAATACTGAATGATAAACAGACCACAAGTCATTAAAGGTTAAATTTTCTTTTCAGTAATTTGTATCTGAAACAAGATAACGACAGACATTAAGCTTTCAAATTTTGTTTGAGGATAAAGTTTCTTTGAAAAAGGAACATACATGCAATAAAAATCTCTGTAAATAGACAAATGACAAAATTTGCAGAATTATTCTCAAATGGATTCTTTGTAGAAAGATCAAATACTTAAAAAAAATAGAAATTTTTGTATCCATGCAAAAAGTTTTAATTTTTTAAAAATTAAACGTATGTCCAGTATTTTTCCCAGTCTAAATATCACATATCTATAGGCATACATATCTGCATTTTCTATTTTGTATTTTGAAATTTTCAATACAAAACAATCCATATTGATTTTTATTATCAACTTCTATAGTATGTGGAATCCCAAAGGTTCAGATTTCTGAAAGGAATGAAAAATTTTTCAACAGCTTAAGATGACAGCTTAGCAATGGTACGAGAATCATTTCTTTAAAAACACACACATTACTAAAAACACACTTATCACCCATGCTTGGTTTAGATCACATCAAATTATTAGGAATGTCTCTTATCATCCCTTATCATCCATAAAAAAGAAATATAGCAGCTTTTCATGCCACACTGCAGGAAGGAAAACAATGGACCATATCTTCATTAGACAATGGCCAAAGTCACTTGAAAGTCATTAGTGTTAATTCCAAATACCAGGGATGTTTGCAAGAAAGGAAATAATTTCCCCTGGGATTGGAAATGTTTTGTGAGCCTTCTATGGTGACTGTTTAGGGGACAGGCTAAATGCTTTACTACACATCTGCATTTACATGGTTTTCACTTTTAATAAGAGAAAACATTTTTGTTCCTTCCAAATTGCTCTTGCTTCTGTAGACAATTACATGCTAATTGTTATTCAACATAACACTGACAGAAAAACTGACAGTACTGCAAACACAACTGCAATTTAAGGAGCCAAAAGGAAATACTTTGGCAAGCTAAATGCTCACACAAAAAGATGTTTGCCTTTGAAAACAATAGTGTGTGGGAAACCCTGACAAAAATATGCAGACAAAAAATATTTAAAGGTCTCTAGTGCTCTTTTCATAACATAGTAGAAGGAAACAATGGTTTCTTTAAAGTAAAAAGTTTACACTTCTATCCCATATTATTTAGTGTCATAAGGGTATTTACTGGGTGTCCAGATTTATGTAGAGACATTTGAAAGCACAACAAAACCAACTGGAAGTACCTTTAAGCTGCCTCTGATCAAAAAACTGACTTCAAACACACTAGACTGAAAAAATAATAATAATAATAACCCTTTCATGGCCTTTAGAGTAAGACAGATTTTGTGCTTTATTTATTATGGTCCTTTTGAGTTGAAAGGAAAAAAGTTTTAATATTTCCAGACATACTTATGAAGGCTTCAAGAAAATGCTTTGTCTCTACAGGAGAGGCTGCTGATGGTAATTTGTTTGTTGCTCTGTAACGGAGTGAGCTGGAACTGCCACTGGAAAGCCTGCCAGTTGTGGTAAACTGCAAGTAGTGCTCTGGTAAGTTGACATATCCAAGGACATCCCCATCTGCTGCGTGTAGGCAGCTGTACCAGTAGCTGATGGAAGGTTAGAGTTCTGGTTCATGTAAGGATTGGACACAGTGTCTTGTCGGGTGCTACAAACAAAATTTTAAAGAGGAAATCATATTTACTTTGATTGTCTAGGTTATCAGAGATCAATCATAATAAAAAAACAACTTGTCCAAGTCTATGCAGCTTTGCTACTTTGACTATGATTTAATCACTCCAGGTATCAAAAACTGTAAACACAATTTTACATCTGGTAAGAGAGGAATGCTCAAAAAGCAGCACAACCTAAGATTATAAAGCCTGTTTAATGTCCTTTCTCCAAAATTCCTCATAAAAACATTTAAAAACTAAGGAGGTACAAACTGTTTGTGACTGTGCTCCCCATATCTAGGTTCAATGAGAAAGCAGCCGTGGCTCCAGATGCACTTTTCAGCCCACTGTCCATTCTCACCTCCCAAGCAAGAAGCCCTTCTTCTCACTACTCTTCAACCTTTCCTTCCAGAGGAACTTTTCACTTCAACGACAGAACTGTAATCTGCATAGGATCTAGAATCTACCCTCAGAGTAGTACAGAAGACTAATTGACTTACTACCACTACTAATACACACTAAACTAAGCTGAAAAATCATGGTAAGTTGAAGGATTTCTGTTTTCTCCTGAATCTACTATGGTAGAAAATTTCTTTTAAAATATATTTAATTTTAAATTATACCACATACACTGCTTGCAATATAGAAGGTTTAAGTTTTTTCCTCTTACCTCTAATGTTGCTCAGTGTAATGAAATTTTAATAAACAAACACCAATATAAACAGGTTTAAGTTCAAACAAACACCAATATAAACAGTTTTATTTAATTTTTAAGTAATGTCTAAACTCACACTCATGGAATTTAAGACTAGAAAGGTACCTCAGAAATCATGTAAAAATGATTATATTGAATAAACATTTTCTGCGGTGAAAGTAAATAAAAAAAGTATTTAAAATGTAATTCTGAAGGAAGTGTTCATACAAAAAATTCCACAGCTCTAACACACTGCCTTTTTGGGGGGAAGACAGGGTACCGGGGATCAAACTCAGGCCCTCGCGCTTGCGAGGCAGGTGGCGCAACCACTGAGCTAAATCCCCAGCCTTCAAACATACTTCCTTTGAAGAGTCAAAGTGACAACAATTTTCTAACAGGAGTGTGGTCAGATAAATAAGTCTGTGTTGATTATTGCACTGTGCTAACCATGTCATGGGAGTAGTCGCCATAAAAGATAATTAGCTTTGTTTTGTCCTAAGGTTCTAAACTGTAGGTTTAAAAGTGGGCAGCCATCATAGTATGGGTGGTAATGCCAAGGGCAGCCCTATCCCACTTTATGCCCAAGCATTTCTATAACTTCATTTTAAGAATAAAAATCAGGATTACAACAGAGAAGGGTCTACAATATTCTTATTCTAAAAGTTTATGAAAAATTAACACAGGTCCCCAAAACTTACCTTAAATATGGAGTTTGAGCAGTTTGCGCTGTGACTGAGGAATTCACATTTGGAGGCAGAGATTGCAGCGAACTAGCATGATCTGGTCCTAGACTATAGCTTTGGGCAGCAGTTACTTGGTGAAGGCTTTGACCCATGTAGTTTCCACCATGTGATTGAATTGGGTATGTCTAATAAGCAAAAGGAAAAATTTGACTCACTGCTCTCTCAAACACCAACCTAGCCTATCTGAAACTTTAACAGACTTTAAAAGGCAGGGTTACAGTTCTTTGGGGAACAATCTGATTCTACCCATCTATCCATCCTAGAGCAAAATGTGAAGAGTTTGCAAATCACAGTGCCAAACTGTGCATGAAATCTATGATTTGCTTGGTTGTTCTTGAATTTTGCAGGAGATTGGGCAGAAGACAAGAAAGAAGAGAGGTGGTGTATTTTTAAGTATTAAGTTGGAATTGATCCAGACTGCCAATTACTCAGAAATGTGTTTTGCCATGAAGCTACAGAACACTCCCCTGAAGGGAAGCCCTTTGGCACCAAGGTCTCCATGAGAATGACAACCTTCACTCTCACAATTCCTTCCTAGAGGAGAAAATGTTGAAAAAGACATGTTGTCAGGATGCCAGGATCCTGATGGCAATGTCTACTGCATATCCTACATTCAGCACAGACAGGACAAAAGAAAAGAGCTGTGGGTAGGGGATTAGATGTGTCCTTAGACGAAAAAAAGAAATGGCCTCGGTCACTGGATATTTATCTGTGCCCTACTTAATTTGCATGGTAACAGCTTCTTAAAGACAGAGTCTGTCTACTTACACAGCATTGATGTGTACACAACACAATGCACATGTTTCATAAATATAAAGGCGATTTTTTTTTTTGGATACTGGAGATTGAACTCGGGGCCTTGCGCATTAGAGGCAGGTGCAGTGCTGCTGAGCTAAATCCCCAGCCCTAACGGCTACTTTTAAAAGCAAAGATCATTCACATTAAGATTTAGAATACTAGATCTGCAAAATAAACTGTATTAGGTGCAATCATTTAACCTCCTTAGCAGACATGCAACAACTAGCTGACAAGTAGTAGAAACTGGAACAGACCTGTTCTGCAGTTTAGGGATCTCAATGGCCTAGTACCACAAAAGGTGTTGTCTCACCTGACTCTAGCAGAGCTATTTTTCAAATTAAAACAGAAACTTCACACTGAGCTATATCAGCAGCCCTTTTCTAAGTTTTTGAGATAGGGTCTCACTAAATTGCTCAGGATGGGTTTAAATTTGGGATACTCCTGTTTCAGACTCCCAGGGACCTGTAATTACAGATGTGAGCTACCATACCTGACTTCAAGTACTCTTATGTACGAACAGTATAGATAGAGGTTATGTAAAGAATCATACCGACAGAAAGTTAACATCAAAGAAATTAGTTGTGGTTAGCCAAGCACAGTGGCAAACATCTGTAATCCCAGCAGTCTGGGAGGCCGAGGCAAGAGGATTCCTAAATTCAAGTCTGGTCTGGGTTTAATCTCCAGTACCACCACCATAATAAAATTAGTTGTGATTAACAAAACAGATTATAAATAGGATGCAATTAAACACAAAAGCTTAAACACAGGAACGACAAACCTTTACAAACACAATCAAATATGTAGTCCTATCATACAGTGACACAGACACTTCTATGATGGTACCTCACTTTATACTTTGCTTTATGATTTTGGTGAAGATGGCTGCATTTGTGTTTGTGTGGGTAAAATGGTTGTAGCTGTGTTTGTCACCCAATCCAGAGTTTGCAAATGGAAGAAAATTTTGCTGAATACTTTGTTTGCAAACCAGATTATGTGCAAAGAGAAGCATTCATGAACCAAGCTATTACTCTATTTTATTCCATTTCACAGCACCAATAAATGTCACATCATCTAATTTGTGCATCCACATCCTGCCTTTTCTTTTTGGTATTCCCTTCATACTCTTTTACATACTACATAGTTGTCATAAACTAACTATGTAATTTTGCTCATCTAAGTTCATTTTGAGTTTGTAAACTGGCTAAAATTTGGAAAAGGCTTTAAAATAAGGATGTTGATATTCATGGCACCTGTTAAGCATAAAAAAGGTAAAAAGTACTGGGGAAAGATGCTGATTATGGATGGCATATGGTGTTTGCACCTCATAGGCCTGAATCATAAAATCACATACAAATCTTAAATTTTTTTTTTTTTTTTTGCAGTGACGGGGACCAAATTCAGGACCTTGTACTTTCGAGGCAGGTGCGGTGCCATTGAGCTAAATCCCTGGCTCTATAATGTATGTTCTGAGGACAAAAGTTCATTGAGCAAGACTTTTTTTTTGGTACTGGGAAATGAACTCAGGACTTTGCACTTGCAAGGCAGGGAGTGACCCCACTGAGCTAAATCCCTGGACCTTAAGCAAGCCTTTTAAAAATAATGTAAGTCAAAAAATCTTGGAAAAAAAAAAAAAAGATTTTCCAAGAAATGTTCTATCTTGGTGAAGAACAGGAATAGCACCAGCACCTCACCCAAGAGCCATCTGAAACACTGGGTCCTAAATGAGAGGGTCTGTTATTTTATACAGTAGTTACAAAAAGGATTTATATTTCCATAAAGATTGGTGCTTTATACTTACAGAAGCCTATGAAAAGCTCAGAATTCCTTCAGATATTTAATGGTCTTTTCATTCATGTTAAAACTGAGCTAACTAAAATGCATTTCTGAATAATCAAGATCTAATTCTAGTCAAATTAACTGCTTGACTAATATTTCCTAAAACTATTAAAGACATGTTTTATAATTTTATTCATGGTCTACTGAAATTAATACTATGCTTTAAACCTTTTTAAAAAATTTAGAACTATAATTTTGAAAAATATTCTTAAAAAAACCTGCTTACCTGCAATGGAGCCCCAGCTGATGTAGAGGGGTAATGTGCTGAAGGATGGAGTTTCGAGTAGACTGAATACACTGGCGCTTCATTCACCAGTTTGTTATACAGTTCCAGAGCTTCCAAGACTTTTACATTCAATTCAGACAACTCTGAATGCTTCCTGATAGAAGAAAAGCATTTTGAGACTCTTCTAACTTTTTAAGCATGTATTTAGCAATGTAAATTGCTTTTTAAATTTATTAATTTCTTACTTGTATTTATTTTTATATACAATGAAAATATTCAGAAAGAAAAAGGAAGGAGAAATTCTCATAATAACTAGGCTATTATTACTTACCTGATAAAAAGCAATCAATTCATAATTTTGGTGCTAGGAGAATTAAGTTTAATTGTTATAGGTTTCTTCTGAAAATTCATTTATAAAGAAAAATAAGTTTCTCAATTTAGGTAAGAGTCCCAGTCTTAATTATAAATATCAGTAAAAGAAAGTATTTGGTTAAGGCTCAGACCCTCTGTAAAATCACTTACATATATCCATGAAAGGACCAACTAAAAAAATCATCAATAATTATTCTCAAAAATGCAAGTAAAAATGTATACACTATCTGATCTGGACTGTTCTTTTATACTGGTTTGTTGGTTTTGATGAAGTAAAACAAGATACTTGCCCAAATGGTATTTTCATATTTGTCACAGAAACTGAAGAACTTTGGTACAAGATTGTACTGACTTGGTACAATTTTGTCTGTTCTCTTAAGAGTAATAAGCAACTATTTCTGCAACTGCTAATTTTATGAAAGCTAAGTGGCCATTTTTAATCAGCCTAAAGCATGCATAAACTTGTTTATTGGATGATTATTTCCATATAAACACAGGCAAGAAACAAAAGGTAGACAAACAGTAAAGGGCAACCAGGTTAAAAACATGGACTAACTCCCATGAAAACTTTTTATCTTTCCTCTACTAGAATCTGTTATGTCTGAATAAAAAAAAAGGTTGTTGTTCTCTCTTGCTTGAATGACTATATAAAGCATGTCAAACTATTTTTAGAAATAGTGCAAACCACCCAAACCTACAGAAATTAAGTGTACATGCTAACAAATGTGTGACTAAGAACCATAAGAATTTGGTACACACAACCCAGTATGCTTATAAAACACCAAGAGAACACAGCAGAAGCCATGATCGCTATACTGTATCATCACCTTTAAAGATCTTAAGCAACCTCAAAGCAATACCAAATTTTTACTATGTCTGAAATTCTACTAGAAGAAAAGCAAGCAGAAAGTATGCTTGTCTCCTTCAAAGAGACCACAATCTATTGGCGAGATAAGATTAAGAACATAAAAGACATCAAATAATATAACATACAATTGAATCCAAAATTATACAGAATAAGTAGAGAGCAGAAGAATTTAGAAAAAATAATTTGGGCTGTGGGTAAACTGAAAAGGCAAAGCTGGGACTTAAGCTGTCCTCTACAGAAAGATGGACAGGGAAAGCTGAAAAGGGAGCCTGCAAAGTTGGTAGGACAGTGTGGACGAAGGCAAACACAAGGGACATGCAAGGTAGACAGAGGATGAAAGGAGGATCTTGATCAGGTAGACACTAGGAAATTAGAACCGTCTGGAACACAGTTAAGTCTAGACAACAGATCTCCCTTCAAAAACCCTATCTAAATTTTTTGGAGTCAATTTACATGGTTAGCTAATTTCTTAGTATGATAAATGCTACAAAATTTTATTTTGTACAATGACAGACTGAAGTAAAATGGCAATTTAGTTTTCTGAACAGAGCTATTTTTCTTAGAAATAATAAGCTGTTGATGACCCACCCATTCAAGAGAAGAAACTACATTTTATTTACCTTCAAACACCCAACAAGAGTAAACAGTCAACAAAAATTTGTGGAAGTGCAGAAAGTTATTTTCCATAATGGAAGCTGCATCTGCAATCAGTGATCATGAAAATACCAGTCGACTTAATCAAAAACAAATGGCCCAGGTTCGTTTCCTGGCCAATGCATAGTACCACTTTTCTATTGGGCCCGGGTTTAGCTCAGTGATTCTACCACCTGCTTTGCAAGCACAAGGACCCAAGTTCGATCCCCAGTACAAAAAAAAAAAAAATTTGGTAAGAGAACTGATGACAGATGAGCTCTCATTCAAAAAATTAACTTTGCAGAAAGTCACTGAGTTTTAATGAGAGATGTTTTCCTTTAATGACATTCTTTTTTTTTCCCCCCAGTACCAGGGATCAAACTCAGGACCTTGTGCCTATAAGCAGGTGCGGCACCACTAAGCTAAATCTCCAGCCCCTAATGACATTCTTTTAATCAACAAAAATAAGACTAAACTGTCTTTTCCTCTGCTCTTTTTTTTTTTTTTACTATATATTACATCTTTCCATGTTAGCGACATGTACCAAGGACAATGACTGCTAGCGTGGAATTTGTGGATGTATTTAGTTACTTTCAATTTTGTTGTCATAAATAACAATTGATGCACCCTTAATATTTAAATCTTTGCATAATGTCCTTATATACTTATTGTGGGCTTGAAATTGCTGGGTTAAAAGACAGGGACTACATTTAGGCTCTAGAAAAGATTATAATTAATCTCCTACCCACACCTAAGGCACTACTATTATATGTTCTTCCTCCTCCTCTTGATCCGCCTTCTCCTCCTACTACTACCACCCCCTTCTTCATCCTTTCCCTTCCTCCACCTCTTCCTCCTCTTCTTCCTTCTTCCTCCTGTTCCTCTTCTTTTCATTTTTCCTTTCAGTCTTTTTAATTTTTAAACTTTTTCCATTAGATCATTTAGTAACCATTAACATCCTTTCACTGAAACAATGTAGTATATGTCTAAGTAGATTTTTACTGCTCTCTAAAATATGTCTACCACCATCATTGACTAACTGCTACAGGGACTTACTTTTAAATTTTGTAGAAAACATAAACAATTCATAAGAAATGCTCCATGGAGCAAAACTTACAATCTTTAGTGACTGGAATGCCTTGCTGCTACAGCACTTCTCCGCTAGAGGCAGAAAATAGGGTTTCCTATTGCTCTAAATCCCTTTCTTCTTGTGCTTTTTTATGTAATAAGTAGGGCTAGAAAGGGATGACACTGAATAATAAGGAAGACCTTATCCTTTGTCTTCATTCAGAATGGCCTCTGCCTCTAACTTCAGATAGAAAGCTCTAAGGAACTGGAGAAAAAGGCAGAACCAAGTTAAAAGCTTAAAACTCTTGATATAGTTTGTCTTCTAGTGCTGCTGCCACTTCTAAACAACAATAAAATCGGTGGGATAATAAAATCAAAGGGGCAACAGAAAAAAATACAAGGAAGGGAGACAAGAAGAGAAAGTACACTGCACTGGATTTAGCTTCCCAAAATTGCAAAATTTCACTTTTATAAAAGTACTGTTCGTCATGTAACAAATCAGTGTTGGCCTAAGGTCCCTGTTTTCATTTTGTTTCTAGTCATTTTATTCTTCATCACTCACTATCCTTTCAATTCCAGCTCAAGTGAAAAAATGACTGGCGTGATAAAAACAAAAGTCTATGAGTCTATGTATATTACAATGCTGACATTATAAAAATGAAAAAAATTCCCTGCCAAAATAACAAATAATCACTCTGCTATTACCTCGGATGAATCTGAGAAACTGAAAAAATAATTTTAACAGATAATACAGTTCCACAACTTTTACTAGTTTTAAGTTTGCCAAGAACAAGTAAATCTATGGTAACTACTTTCTATTCTTTGCTTGAAAAATCTCACCTGTCAATCTCTTCAAGTTTCTCATCTATCATTGGACCCATCTGTTGACAGATATCTGTAAATACAAAAATATGTAAAAGTCTCACAATTTCATCTAGTTTAAGCCAATTTCAACAATTTAACAGTGGAGTACCAATATGCATTACCATGAATAAGTTAAGCTTATGCTAGAGAAAGGACTATAAGGACCAGTTTTAATACTATTTAGCATAAACACTACTATATATTACTACCATGTGACCAAAGACAAGGCTGAAATTTAAAAAATCTTATCGTATTTCTTGGAACTATTAAATTTACAGACTATGCTATTTGGAATTATCCTAAAGTCAAAGGGCATCTAGAAAACTATTAGCTAAGTAAGATGAACTTGAGCCACACTATAAAATATATAACCATGTGTAGATTAAATACGAACATTTTTCATTAAAGAAATTTTATTTTTGTTTTGGTTTGGTTTTTTGGTACCGGGGATCAAACTCGGGTCCCTTCACTTGCAAGGCAGGCAGGGGAACCACTGAGCTAAATCCCCAGCCCAAAGAGATTTTAAAGTTAAATATTATGTATATTTCCAAATACAATCACAGGTAATAACAGCATATTATCCTATATTTATAACCAGATTATTAAGATTTATCCATTAACTACAGATATTTGTAATAATTAAAAAAACAAAGTATTTTAATTGCTTTGAATTTCTCAGATTAAAACATTAGCATGCATAAAATAATTACATTATAAGGTTAACATTTAGTATGTATAAAGTGGACATTCAAAGTCATGGCACAAGAGAAACAAGAATGAGAATTTTTAATATTTTGATTCAATTAATTAAATAAGCTATTATTTCTAATTCTGTCCTGCTTTTGGACTCCAAATCTCCCACCAGTTTCAACAGTGGACTTACAGAAATACTAAGACTTCCTTCTTGAAAAGGATAAACATGTATGAAAATACTTTTCAGTGATACTCTTTACTATGTTACTGTACTAGTCTGCTCTCCAGCAGTGTCTTCTAATCTCAAAAAGCAAATCCAAAGTAGAAGAAACTCAATCTATCATGAATAGATAAAATATTAAATAGTATTACATTGGTCTCTCCTATTAACGAAGTACCTTCCAAATCCAAGAGTTCTTGAGAATCTGGTTTTGAATCTGCTGGATCTATATTCTGGAGCACCCTCAGGGCTCTATCCATCTTATCCTAAAAAAGTAACGGAGACACTAAACAGTAAAAGAGCTTCAACTGTAGTGAATATAAAATTACTATTTCCAAGCATTCTCAAAGGTAATATATTTAGAAGTCTTGATAGTTTAACTATTAAACAAAAGAAGGACTCTACCTCATCTATATAAACAGGCTCAGGTTCTGATTTCTTAATTTCCTCCACATCATCATCAATTACATTCAATTTGTCCACAGCTGCTATGGAAACAAAGTAATCTTTAAGTTCTTAGCATTCACTTTGATAATTTATTCATTAACTTATAAATGACCTATGATTATCCATATGAAAAAAACCACAAAATCTTTAAATAGATATCACATTTCACAATCAAAGTTATTACATATGTTTATTCAGTGTCATTCATGTCACAAATATTCATGTATATTCAGTACTTTACAATGCACTCAGCATTATTTTAGGGACTTATACATATTCCAAGGAATATAACAAGATCCCTGCACTCATGTGACTTAGGTTCTAGTTGAACAAGTAAGCAATATTAATGGAAGATGTCATTATAGGTATTTACTTGAAAATTGATGGTTACCACTAGGTGAAAAATATACAAGTACATAACTATCTACAAAACTAATTTCATAATGATATCTGAGTTAGTTCTATTTACACTTCTGTCTTCTATTAAGGAAAAACTTTTACTTCCTATATGAACAAATTAAACCTGATTTTAACCTAAGTTTGGTAACAGTTAAAATAACACAAACCAAATACCTTTGGTTTTTGTTAATTCTTACAGTGCTGAGGGTCAAACCCAGGGACTTGTATATGCTAGGTAAGCACTCTCCCACTGAGTTACATCATCAGCCTCACAAGAGACAACTGAGAAAATAATTTACAAGTATATATGCCCAGAAAACTAACTGTTCCTAGAATGTACTAGACTTTAAGTAACCAAAAGATTTTTAAATCCTAATAGCTACTTCACATATTTGGCTAGCTTTCAATGATGTCCTAAAGAATAGAGCTCAGTATAACACAAGAATATATAAAAACCAAGATTATACATTTTTTTTTTAGTATATGTTTTCAATACATAATAATTACATCTTGGGGAATGATACATATTCATAGTGCATCTCGATCATTTTAACCCCCTCCCCCATCCCCCACATCCACTATGTTTTACTTTCAAAACTGCAGTTCAATCATGCCAGCTTATGTCAGGGGGAAATTGTTACACAGGACCCTAAGTGTGGTTAAAAACTATTTAAAAAGATGCCTCCAATATTCCTATATACCTCGAGTCAGAGTAGAAAAATAAGTATAACTAGTAGCAAAATACTTGTTTTCAAACCAGTATCCACCCTCACAATTCAATTTTTCTGAAAGCATCATTCTATGCATATAAAGACAATACAAGTTTTAAGTTCTTTCTTTAGAACTGGTAAGGGATTAATTATATCCTTCAAAGACCCAGTCTAAGTAGACTCTTAAGTACATTCTAAGGTTAGACAAGCTGACTTTAGAATAATAGTTCTATCCCTTACTAGATAACATAAATAAATCAGCCTCAGTTTTTTTTTTTGGTTTCTTTCATTTATTTCTTTTTTTTTTCAGCTTTAATTGAGTTTATTGGTACATTTTAGGGATACAGTACAGTTACATTCATTGTTGGGATCTTGTACCTCTACATGACAAGTCTTGGTTCTCATTTTTTTCCCCTTACCCCTGCCCTCCCTTCACCCCCTCCTCCCCTCCCCATCTACAAACATTTTATTTCCATCTTTTCATTATCTCACATTTTTTTCTTAAAATAGAGTAACAAAAGTATCTATCTCATAGAATTGTGAGAATTAAGTGTAACTGTAAACAGATTTAGCACAATGCCTGACAGTGTTCAAAACCTTAACTCTTTTCTTCTGATTGTCATCAACAGTATTACTATGAACTATACACTGAGATTTCCCACCTCCCTGCCCACACAAAATGGCATTGTGCACAGCATGGCTGACAGTGACTGAGGGGGAACTACCTACGAGTGCAGAACCAAATAAAGCAGAGAAAACCTGATTCAGACACTTTAAAGTCTTGATTACATTACTTTATTCTTGCCTCAAGTTCCCTAGGATTAAATCACCAGTGAGACAAAGTTCAAAATATAACTGTGTAATCACTTGCCTGTTCCACCATGTTGGCAAACCCCCTATCTTCTCCGTGGTTCAGTCATGAATAAAAATATTCTTACTGCAGAACATACACAAACTGCCTTGTACACTGTATAATTAGATGTAGTACTTAGCTACATTTCCAGATCTTTTTTGTATTTTATTTTGAGACACAATTTCACTAAATTGCCCAGGCTAGGCTCCAACTTGTAATCCTCCTGCTTCAGCCTCCCAGAGTGCTGGGATTAGACATGTACCACCACACCTAGTTTAAATACTTTCTCAAAGGATTTAAAATATAAGGAAGAGCTTCCAGAGTTAACATGGGATAAATCAATCATTTAATTTAAATAAGAAATAGGCTAAATTATAATGACTATAAACAAATGATTTAAATAACAAGTTAAATGTGTCATAAAATTCAGGAGAAAAAAAAACTTAATAAAGTAATATTCTCTAAGATTTAACTTACCTGCTTCAGACTCTATGTTTAAATTAGCTGTCACAAAATTAGATGGGAAGAGTCCTATTCCTCTGTGATTTTCTCCTTTCCACCAATTGGCATCGCTGAAAAATGCAGTGCAATAAAATGTCATTTGCTAATCTGTATTTTAGTACTTCGTGTCAAGAGGGGTAAAGTAAAAATTAAACTTAACCGACTTTGAAAATATTAGGTTCAGCCCAGTTATACTTAAGATGATTTTCTTAAATTTAGAAAAAAAAATAACAGTACAAATACAACAAACATTCATATCCCCATGTCTACATTTAGAACTAATCAATGACTAGTAACACCTGGTTATTTAAAAAAATCAAGCAAAAGTCTCAGTGGCTCCAAGTTCCAAATTCACATTCACCATAAAATACCACCACCATAAAGCTGGTATGCAGCTTTTCCTGCCAGTTTGTATTCTTTTGTAGTATTTGTGGCAAACTATACATGGATTCTGATACACAGACTTAGATGCTAATCTGCATAGCTCTTTTCAATGTCATATCAGTACTTTCAGATCTTGCTTATCCCTTTTAAAGTTTTATCACATGGGCATGCATATTTAATTTACTCATGTCTGTATAGATTAGGTTGTTCCCAATCTTCCCTCATTATAAGAAAGGTAGTAGTGATTATCCTGGATTAGAGGGCACATACACATCTGGTTTTCTAGGTTTATTCAAGACATGGAATTTTGCTTATATTACTCAGCTACCAAGGAAGTTAAGCCAGAAAGACAGCTTGAGCCTAAGAGTTTGACACTAGCCTGTACAACTCAGCAAGATCCTGACTCAAGAAATGAAAAACAGACAAAAAAATGGACATGCTGGGCCTGGCTAAGGAATAGAAGCAGTATTTTATTAGATACTGTCAAGTGTTTCCTGTAGTAGCCATGGAAATTCACCTTCATTCTCCCAGCAGCATGCAAGAATGTCAGTGTCCCCATATATGGTAATTATATTCAAGCCTATAGTTGATACTAAACGTAGAAGAATTATGTCATTGTCCATCCACATTTGCATCTTCCAAGCATTATGTGTATTTGGTGGGTGTCTAGATTGCTTCTTCTGTGAACTGCTTATTTGTATCTTTTTCCTGGTCATTTGTCTCTTTTCATAGATCTAAGAGTTCTTCACATACTCTGGATAGTAACTGTTTCAAACAAGCAAATTCCTTTTCCCAAGATATCACTTGCATTTTAGCATATGCTTATAGTTCTTTATTCCATGTTTTTTTCCCCATGTAATGAAATTTAGCAATCATTTCTTTTTATGGCTTTTACTTCCATCTTCCTCATTTTTTTTTTTTTTGGTACCGGGGATTGAACTTGGGTCCTTGCGCTTGCGAGGCAGGCAGCAGAACCACTGACCTAAATCCCCAGCCCTCGATCTTCCTCTTCCCTTGAATTCCTAAATCTATTCTCCTACACACTTGTTTTAACAGATTTAGGTTTTATTTTTTAATCTACCTCCTGTCTTTAATTCATTTGACATTAATTTTTTTTTTCTTTTCTAGTACCAGGACCTTGTTAAACTTAAGGCCGCATGAATGTTAGACAAAGTGCTGTACCATTGCTACATAAACAAATCTTATTTTTGAATTTTGAGACAGGGTCTCATAAGTTACTTGAGCTGGCTTAAAACTTGTGGCTTAAAACTTCCTGCCTCAGCCTCCCAAGTAGCTAAGATTTTAGGTGTGCACCGTCACACCTGCCTGAAACAAAATTTTATGTACTGTGTAAAGCTAAATCAAATTTTATTTTATTTGTATTATATAAAGTTATTCATCTCAGCAACATATATTGAATCATCTACTATTTCTCCAACTAATTTTTTGCTTTGTTTTTTTTTCTTTGAGACACGGTCTCACTATGTAGTTGAGACTGACCTTGAACTCACTATGCAGCCCAAACTGGTCTTGAACTCACAGCGATCCTCCTGCCTTAGCCTCCTGAATGCTGGGATTACAGGCATGTGCCACCACGCCCAGCCTCTCCAACTAATTTTTGATACACTTTGAAACAGCAAGGTGCTATCTACTCATGAGCCTACTTCTATATTTCATTTTATTGCAATGTTTAATTCTTCCTTTTAGTTTTGCTATGGCTTCAGTCACCATGGCCCAAAAAATTTCAGTGGACAATTCAAGAAATAAATAATTTTAAGTTTTAAATTGTACATTATTGTGCACGAAGTCAATCGTCCCTTTGTCTGGCTTATCCATGGTATCTGTGCTGTGTATATGCTGTCCTCCTGTTAGTCACTCAGTTGGCTCTTGTTTGTCAGATTGACCACTGTAAGAAGATGCTTGGGTTCAAGAAAGCCTTATTTTACTTAATAACAACTCCAAAGCACAAGCATAGTGATGTTGGCACAACTGAGGTATATCATAAAGAACCCATAAAATGTTTCCTTTAGGTGAAAAGTAAAATCTCTTAACCTTTATAAGCTAAGAAAAAAATAATAATTTGCAGAAGTTGCTAAGATCTATAACACAATATTTAGAGAGACCGCAGTCACATAACTTTTATTAGAGCATTTGTTATAATTGTTCTATCTTATTTATTGTTACTGTTAATTTCTTTGTATTATTTATAAACTTGATCATAGGTATGTATATACAGGAAAAAAAGACAGTATAAATAGTGTTTATTACTATCCTTGGTTTCAGGCAGCCAGTGAGGGAGTCTTTGAATTTATTATTATCTATGGATAAGAGGGGACTACTATGTATTTACCACAACCTATTAAAATACCTTGATACCATGCAGGAAAAGTATCCTCTGTTATTCTTTTTCACACTGTATACTTTCACATTTCCATATTAATACTAAAATATAGAGTTTTGTGGAAAAAAAATTTTAGGGACTTTAATTGGAAATGCACTAAATTTGTGCAATAATATGATATGAGAAATATGAGAAAAATTAAGTCTATAATATTCAGGCTTAACATTTCTATTTGTATTTTAAGAATATAAATATGATATATGTAACATATCTTCTATATATTTCAAAGGCTTTTGTAATTTCTACATAAAGGCCTTACACATATATCTTTGTTATTCACACATAGATCATTTATGTAATTTTTATTACTATTGGGGAATGCTTTTCTATTACATTTTCTAAACAATATGATTAAGGCATACTACTGATTTTTCTATACAGAACTTATATTGAACAACCTTAACAAACTTACCAGTTTAATACTGTGCCCATTGATCACACTTTCTATACAGAGTTACAGTAGTAGAGTAGTAGTAGAGTTACAGTATCTGGGAAAAATGGTAATTTTGTTTATTCCTTTCCAAATCTTTTGGGTTTGTGTATATGTGGTATTAGTGATCAAATACACAAACTCACACATGCTAGGCATGAACTCTGAAACCCCAAAAAGAATCTTGAGAATGAATTAACTTCCGTGATTCTGAAACATTTTATTCAATGAGTTCCACACAGATATGAAGAGCTATATATTACCTAAATTCTTAAAACTAGCAAGTAAGAAATGAGTGTAGTGAGAGTTCTAAGATACTGTATTTGTTATTATCTATATAGGATAGGATAAATTCTCTTCCATGCATTTAAGGTAAGTTTTCCATTTAAAAAGGAAATTTAAACTTAAAGCAATTTTTAGATAAAACCAGAAAATTCAAACTTGTAAAATGGATACAAGGACAATTATATGGACAGTCCTCAGGAATATGCTTCCTAATGTAGGATAATTTCCCTCTCAATCATTACCACAAACACTCTGATGAAATACAAAAGTAAGCAAAACCAACAAATGCCACCTCAAAGCATGACTCCTCAGTGCTAAGCTAGCTTTATACTCTTTCCACTGACTACCAGCTAATTCTACAGAATGTTAATGGCACAAAATATTGTTTAACTTTAAATTTGTAAATTAAGGTAATTTACCACTATAATTTGACATCAACCATTTGATAATTAAGTAAAATTTTAAATGTGTCATTTATATTTAGAGCTTTTATATTAGAAAAGAATAAGTCATAACTAAGTGAAAAATGATATAAATATAAGGGAAATAAACTTTACCTTCAACAAACTGATTATTGAGCTAACATTTATGAAAATCTACAAAGAACAAACTGGTGTGTGGTATCCTATCATCCTAGCCCTCTGAGAGGCTGAAGCAGAGAAGGATTACAAATTCCAGGCCAGTCACAGGAAACTTAGCTAGATCCTATCTCAAAATTTAAAAAGGAGTGAGAATATACCTTAGTGTGAAGGTCCTGGGTCAATTTTCAGTATTGAAAAAAAAAAAAAAAAAAAAA